GGATCCTCGAAAAATGTATTCAATTATTGAACTAGCATGCTACTTTTATATCATATTATATTTTTTACGTCATTTTTTATATAAATTTGGACTTAAGTTCAAATTTAAATGATATGAACTTTTTATGTTTACTCTCATCGTCACAGGAAACGATATTTTAATTTTTTCTTCTATTCCTTTTAGGTTGAACCAGATGGACTGTCCTTTAATGTTTCTAAGTGCTCTTGGAGACACAATCGAGCAAAAATTATAGTGAGTTGCTCTCTGCGGTCTTTTACTTATATTTTATTTTCTTCATACGCAACTCCTCTTACTGCATTCACCCATATCAACTCGTTTTTAAATTCATCTATACTCTTCTTTTATTGGTTGGTTGCTATACTTTTTCAAGCCCTCTCTATACGGGGCACAAGACGTTGCATTTGCGGCTTTAGGTTTGCTATTTTAGCTTATAGTCAAGTTTATTCATTCATTACTAACAAATTATACATTTCGTCCGCCACTTCCGGTGTTATAAAAATCATTTACATATTTACATCTATTCCATAGTCTATATAATTTTTCGAGGATATGAAAATCAAGATGGTGCGGCCTTTGGTTGCACTCTCCTTTCGATGTGTAGAAGTGGACTGACTTCGTTTTCGCAACCTGGTCAGGGCGACTTAGTTGGACGCACTTTTTCCGAGGTCATCTGCTTTAGCAGTTATCATAATTCCTAGCGTTAGATCATGGACTTCGTACATTCCCAGAAGTTTCGCTGGAATCGTCAGTGAATCTTGCCATTCTCAGCACCAAACTACAACTTGCCAAAGATAGAAGACTGTTAGCAATAAGTAGTAGTCGTTTTTTCACTGATTTAGAACCGATATTACGTATAGACGTTAGCGCAGACACAAACACGCATACTCAAGTAAAATTAGCATGACCAATATAAAAAATAATTAACCAAACCATTTTATATCTATCTATGCATATGAACAGTCACGTGACCTAGTGGTGACGTGACACTTATAAAAGAAAGCTGCTCGGTCCGTCTTCACCCGCGACATAGATGAATGTCTCGTGGACTACGTCAACATGAACCTCGTATTAAAGCGAATCGACTGAAGCACAGCGGGAATCAACCGTCGTCCTCTTGTGAAATCGACCTTGGAATGTCTTTATCACTTTCATACGAAATGAAACTTCCCCCAACAATATTGTCTTAGCAGATTGATCGAAACCTAGTTACTATTCGTATTTTATTTGAGGATTTTTACAAAGCTGATAGCGGTCGAGAAAATTGAACCTTTTCATGAAAGGCTTTAGATTGATCGTTGATATTTTTTTACGATGTAATTATTTATGAACACCAAATTTAAAATAACCTTTAAAGTTAAGATTTTTCATAATAATTCCATGCCAAAAGGACGCAGGATTACGTACGCTCTACTAGGTCTCTGTCGCTTATGCCTAATCGAGGTCATTCTAAAACTTGCATAAAAAATTTTATAAAATCAATGTTTGGCTGACTCACTGCATTCTATTTAATGGTCATAGTCTATAATAACTACTTTCTTCTTTGAATGATCTCCATTTAACCTTTTTCCTCATATAATTTTGGCTTCTGTCACTCTTTTTTAATCAATTTGCTTGATTCTCTTGTTCGCTCTGAAATGGCAATTTTGTTTTAACTCTATAATTTTCAAGCTCGATCTGTCAGGTTCATTAAAGTAGAATGAAACCCTTCTTACCATTATTCGTAGCCAACTAATTTTCCGCTAATTATTTATTTTGCTAGTTATCGTAAAGCTTATTTTCATTTGAAAAAATTAAACTCACGATATTTTGTATTTTCCCTGATTAAGGCCTCTCGTGATCTGATTGGTCAACTGGTTCGAGAAGTCACTTCCCAATGGATCACTTTTATCGATTGTCTATCTGTCACATATTCACAAACCACAAACACACATGATTCATCTTTGATACCTGACGACCTTCTTCCTCCGGAAGTGCTTTTGCTTCGGCAACAGACGTCAAATAATAGCCTCATTCAGCTAACTAAAGAGGCCGGTCTATACTGTAGCAAGCTTACCTCTCTTGCAGACAAAATTACCAAGCTAACACTCATAACACCTGGTCAATGTAATGCTTTTTTAGTGCCTACTGAATTTATCCAAGATCTGGTTTCGCTTCGCCTCTCAGTCACTGAACTTAGGAGCCTCACAAATCAGATTTCTGAAGCCTTTTGCTCGTCTCCCAACTTCCCACATGACAAAGGAATCTCCCCAGCCCGACACTTAGTTGAACTAGTCGATAGAATTGTATCCGAGGTGGATTTATTGGATAGCGAACTGAATTATAATCAGTCTACTGTCCTTGGTCCTCACTCAAATGCTGCCCATGATCATATAGTTATGACTACTAAAAATCCTAGTGATTACCTCTTTACTCGACGCCTTTGCCGACTGATCGAGTCTGTACAATTGGCGGCCGAGGCTATCTTTCGGCTCGATCAGCCTGACCCTCAAACCAAAGGCCAGCCAGTTGGCCTAACTGTGCGTCTTGTAAAGATGGGTTATTCTGTGCTTCGAGACCTAGGTCCAAGAGTGGTCCTAATTAACCGCCTGCTAGTAAAGCTTGGCCGTCAGTTGGATTGCAAAGAGACACTATCCTGTCCTCGTAGTTGTCAGCTGGCTATTTATGCTGTACTTCCACTTGTGCGTCTCTTCTACATCTGTCTGGCATCTCGCTGCTGGCAAATTGACAAACTTACCAATCAGCTTGTCCGACTTGGGCTTTTTTCTGCTCGTATAGCCACCTCTCTGCTCTCTCGGGGCTTCTGTCTACCCGAATGTTTGACACGTGGACAATCATCAGGACTCAATGCTGCGGATTCGGCGGGCCCCACAAACGATGAATCATGTCATCCTCAAGAGGAAGACGGCCCGACAAGTCTTTCTCACACTCTCTCTAACGACTCTAACTTGGCGGGGACTAAAGATGTTAGCGATCAGCTGGAAGCAATGGACCAAATTGAAGGACTTGCTGACGATCAAGCCAGCCACGATGGAGCTCGAGACAACGAGCAGCATAAGGATGACTCAGGGCGTGGCATCGAAATGCCAGATGATCAGTTTGGTACGAGTGAAGATTTCCTATCCGGTGATTTAGAGGAAGAAAGCAATGAGGAAAATGACGGACTCGATGAAAAAATGGATTCTGGAAGCGACGCAGGACCTGCTGGAGTGTCAACAGAGATGTGGGCTTCTAGCGACGAAGAAGAGGAGTATGAAAATGATGCAGAAGGTTCATGCGATAAGACTGGAGAACAGGCCCCTACTGGTGCTAGCAGTAAAGGGAGACTTGATCGAAAGAGGCCAAAATCTGCAGATTCATATGGACCGTCCTTAGAGGATAGGGAAAAGACAAATATGGATGAAGACAAATTAAACGAAACCAAAGAAGATGATCATAATGAAGTGACAAATGATAAAACTGACGGCTTGACTACACAAGAACAACAAAAGCCGAAAAAGTGTAGTCGGTCAGTGGCCAGATCAGGTGAAGAGACAGTAGCCGGAACGGGCGAGGGTTCGATTCTGCAAGCACCTTCGCCGAAACAGCAAGATCCCGTGTCGCCCATGGAAGATGTTAAAGACATGGAAAGCGAAGGCTGGAATAAAGGGGACGATAATCAGGAGGGTGAAAATGAAAATAAACCGGATGAATCACTTTGTCCCGATAATCTAATGGGCTCCCCAATGGAAGAAACCAATCCTCCCGAACTCGATGACCTCACAGAGGCTATTGATGCTTTTCATTCTACCGTTGACTCCAATCTGCCTGAGGAAGAAGATGAGCCACAAGATGTATATGACGAAAGAGTAATAGCGGACGAAAATTTCGAAGAATCTGGTAGGCTTTTTTATTAGTACACCTCCCTCCATTCCGGCACTCTTTTAAATTTTATCTTAAAGTTAAGAAATATAAAGATTCAGGCGATTGTTCAATAAAATATTTTCAAACGCAAAGTGGCTTTGCGTCAGCATTATGGCTTAAATTGATCAAAATCCCATTTTTCTAAAATATCCATTAACTTAAATTGTTGGCCCTTTTTGCTAAATCGTACTAAGATGGTACATGTGTGACCAAAGTATTTGTATTTTCAATTTGTATTTTTCTTATTTAAATTAAGATTTTACTGATCTGATACTACTTTAGTTAGCTATCTCCTGATTAGGATGTTTAGAACTTTCTATAGTTGAATTGAAGATATGAAGACCAAGATGCTGTGGCGTCTAGTATGGTCGCAGTCTCTTTTCGATTTATATAAGTGGGTTGACCTCGTTGTCGCAACTGGGTCTTGTTGTCAGGGCGACTTAATAGAACGCTCCTAGTCCGAAGTCGTTTGCCATATTAGTTGTCATGATTCTTAGCATCAGACAGTGGACTTTGCCTACTGCCTAAGCAAACTCGGGGAAAACAAGAATATAGCAAGACCAACAAAAAAGAGACGGCTGGATCATGGATCTACTGCTAACCGGAGGAAAAGGGATCACAATGAAGAAAATGGGGGAAAAGGGTTTTCGGCAATAAAGCGAAGACGTTGTTAGTGAGTGATGTCCAGTTTGAATAAACCAGTACAACTTTGGGGGCCTGGCAGTCAGGGATCTGGGCCGACGGATAAGCAAACCGTCACGGAACTTTGGCGTTATGCCCAAAATATACTATAAATCCACTTGAGATGCCGAATGCGTCCAGAGATAGGCGTCCACAGTTTGTTCAGATAACATGGGCTTAATCAAGGAGATGATGTGTGAAGGGAATGCCTGATATCTGCAAGCATGGGAGTCAAAGCTTATGTGCTCTGCTCAGTGAAGCGGCAGTGTACGTGCTTTTAGGGCCTTGAGAAATAGCGCCTAAAGTGAAATGCACACAGGGACTAGAACCTAGTGAAATCGGTCAACCAGAAAGATAAGGAACGGATCTACGAGACAATTAGGGGATCCGGATTGGAGGCTTGGGTCGGATCAGCAGATCGAAACAGAGGAGTCGGGGTAAATATAAGATGTGATGAGGCTACATTAGATTTGCCACAAAAAGGCACACATTTGGACGAATGGAATGTAAACAAGTGAGTTGTGATAGGGCGGCAGTGGGATTAGAGGGTAAAGAGTAGATAGATAGACTAGGAAAGAAAGAGGAGTGATTCTGTAACCGTTTTCGGCAGAACGTTTTTC